TCAGCACTATGTCCACGCCTGGCAAGCGCACCCACACGCGGCCGTTGTTTGCTTACGAATCCAGTTTTGGTCAGTGATTTGAGCGCTTTGCGGCTGTAGAGAGTGCTCCAGGCAGGCTATGGGACATGCCCGGTTGATATTTCAGATGCCGGGAAGGACAGGCCTTGGCTTTTTGAGCGATGCTTTCGCAGGTTGCGAACGGTGAGCAGTTCTTGGGGAAAAAACTGTTGGGAAAGAAGATTGCTCAGTTGGCGGTATGCCTCGCATGAATGTCTTTGCCTATTTCTCAATGTTTCTCCGTGTTTTTTGGTCAACGTCACGTGTGTTAATTCTTCTTTGTCTTCTTCTTCTTCTTCTTCTTCTCCTTCCCTTCTCCTCGTTTCTGTCTTGCTGCTTCTGCTGCTGCCGTCGCTCCTACCATTTGAAACAGTGTTTTCCATCGAGATGGCGCTTTTTTTGTGCGAGCCACACTTTTTCAACTTGAGCATTGCAGGCAGTCGCTTGCCAAATCGAAACAGCAATTTTATCTGGCCAAACAGCAGCTTTTCCCTTGCAAACGGCAACTTTTCCCCACTGTCGGGCAATCCTCAAAGGGGCATCTTGTGCAACGCTTTTTTCCGAAAAAATACTGTTAGGGGTTATAAATTCATGTAAAGTGATTCGCCTATTGCCAAGCCCCAGCCTGGATGCCTGGCACGGCTTTTGTCTCCCTTCATTTGTCTCCCGTTGTCTGCCCCTGAATGCCTAGCACGGCTTTCCGGGTGGACGGGATTTGTCTCCCTTTGTCTCCCTTCATTTGTCTCCCGCTGTCTCCCAGCCGGGATGCCTGGCACGGCTCTCCGGGTGGACGGGTTCATTTGTCTCCCTTTGTCTCCCTTTTTTCGTTGTATTTTGCCTGGATGCCTGGCACGGCTCTCCGGGTGGATGGGTTCATTTGTCTCCCTTTGTCTCCCTTCATTTGTCTCCCGTTGTCTCCCAGCCTGGATGCCTGGCACCGCTCTCCGGGTGGACGGGTTCGTTTGTCTCCTTTTCTCTTCCTTCATTTGTCTCCCGCTGTCTCCCAGCCTGGATGCCTGGCACGGCTCTGGGTGGACGGGTTCATTTGTCTTGTCTCCCTTTGTCTCCCTTCATTTCTCCCCCGTTGTCTGGCAGCCTCGATGCCTGCCACGGCTCTCCGGGTGGACGGGTTCATGTGTCTCCTTTGTCTCCCTTATTTGTCTCTGCCTGGCACGGCTTCCTGGGTGGACGGATTCATTTGCGGTGTAGTGTGCAGGCACGCATGTGTGTTTGAGGCTCAGAAACGCGTATTTAAGCGCGCGCGTCTTGCCGACGAACCCTCTGCGGAGAGATTGCACGTGTCGAGTCGCTCTCGCTGTGGCGCCGTGCGAATCTCAAAGGGCGTGGTGTTTCGTGCTGTGCAAGACTCGGAGGGTTTCGGGGGACGGGGCAATAGCGCACGGACCATGCAGCATCATGTTCCACGCAAGTGCAACTGTTGTTGTAGGCCTGGGTTGCGTCTTGGAGGCGGGTCTACGTGAGCACATTTTTGTGTTGCAGGAAAAGCGTGGGATTGCTCCAATCAAACACTTATGCGATCTGGTCAGAATTCTTAGTAAGGGAGTTTAGTCTACAGAGGCCACCGTCGCAGGCGCTTTGTGCAGTTTTCATTCATACAAAGCGGAGTCCTTCAAATACCAATGGATTGCCCGCTCCCCACTGGAGGCGCTAGGATGGCGCTAGGGTCTTCGGTGATCTTGGTTTCCAAGAGTTGGCGCGTGGGTTACCGCGATGGGCTTTGTGTGGCTTTCAAGGGTGTAACGTTGCAGTCCTTGCTCGTACTTGAAGCCAGCCCGCACGTTTACCTGAATCTTACGTGGCCTAAATTTCTCAAGTCCACACAGATGGTCGCCGTGACTCCAAAAAATACGGCGAACTCGCGCTAGCCCCTCGCGCTAGAAAGGCGCTAGCGCAGTAGTCAGGTTGCGTGTTTCCCTGCGAAAGCAAATGCTTTTCTGAATCGATACGAAGAGTTGCCACAACACGATAAAGGCACTTTAACGCGTTCTATCGAGCAACAGATTGTTCGACACGAAAGACACTGCGCAGCTAAGCGAGAAAGAAGCGCAATGCGCCGGAAAGCTTTGCTAAGCTGAAGCCTGTACATGCTGGAGACGCATGTGATACTGATAATACTAGCAGTAGTAGCAGCAGCAGTAGCAGGCTCGCCCGGTAGCAACGTGTTGCAAAAAAGCTAGATTAGTCGCACAGGAACACTATTTTCCTACTTGGAACACGCATATAAAGCGCAAGCGTTGTTCAAGGCAGAGCCCCATGGAATAGCGCCTCACAGCCGGCTTGGGGAATTGATTTATGTGTTGCCCAGGCGTGCAGAAAATGTAAATTCCATGAAAAAACCCTTGTGAACACGTTTTTGTGTTGCGCATGTTTCTCCACATGTGCATATACCTGTGTTCCTTGTGTACACATATGTGTGTTACAAGTGTTTGTTCTGGTTAAACATGTTTGTGCGATCTAGGTCCGCGCCAGTGTTGCGCGTGAACACAAATGCCTGTTCCAATTGAAAACATGTATGGGTTCCATGTGAACACAAATGCGTGTTGCAGGTGTACGCATGTGTGTGTGTGTGTTCCAAGAACACATGTTTGTTATCAGATCAACGCGTGTCTGTGCGTGTGTGTGTGTGTGTGTGTGTGTGTGCGTGCTCCGGGTGCGCATATGTGTGTGTGTGTGTGTTCACGTGTGCACATATGTATGTTCAAGTGTGCACATATGCATGTTGCACGTGTACACACATGTGTGTTGTTATCAGACACGTGTATGTGTTCCAGGAGAACACATGTTTGTTGTCAGATGAACACGTGTGAGTGTCTGCTCCGCGTGCGCATGTATGTGTGTTCACGTGTGCACTTATGACTTATGTGCGTTCCACGTGTACACATGTGGGTGTTCACGTATGCGCAGAAGTGCGTTCCAACTGGATACGTGTTTGTGTTCTAGGAGAACACATGCCGCGTGCACATGTATGTGTGTTCATTTGTACACATATGTGTGTCCCGCGTGTGTGCATTTGTGCGTTCACGTGTGCGCATATGTGTGTTCCAATTGGACACGTGATTGTGTTTCAGGTGAATTCATGTTTGTTTTCAGATGAACGCACGTCTGTGTGTTGTGCACAAATATATGTGTGTGTGTTCACGTGTGCACATATGTATGTTCAAGTGTGCACGTATGCGTGTTGCACGTGTACACACATGTGTGTTCTTATCAGACACGTGTATGTGTTCCAGGAGAACACATGTTTGTTGTCAGATGAACACGTGTGCGTTCACGTGTGCACTTATGACTTATGTGTGTTCCACGTGTACACATGTGGGTGTTCACGTATGCACAGAAGTGCGTTCCAACTGGATACGTGTTTGTGTTCTAGGAGAACACATGCCGCGTGCACATGTATGTGTGTTCATTTGTACACATATGTGTGTCCCGCGTTTGTACATTTGTGTGTTCACGTGTACGCATATGTGTGTTCCAATTGGACACGTGGTTGTGTTTCAGGTGAATTCATGTTTGTTTTCAGATGAACGCACGTTTGTGTGTTCCGTGTGCACAAAAATATGTGTGTGTTCACTTGTACACATGTGTATGTTCCACGTGTACACATATGTGTGTTCACGTGTGCACAAATATATGTTCTAATTGGACACGTGTTTGCGTTCCACGAGAGCATATGGCTGTTATCAGACGAGCAGGTTGGTGTGTGTTCCGAGTGTACACATATGTGTCTTCATGTGTGTTCCACATGAATACGTGAGCGTGTTCTAGTGAACAGTGTTTTGCATTTGACGACATTTTTGTGGTGTACGCATGTATGCGCTCCAGAAAACGTATAGTTGTTTTCGAGGTGTGCGCTGTAGGTGAGCATTTATGTTTAACTCGCGTGTGCGCATATGTGTGTTCCACGTGTATACATATGTGTGCTTTCATCGCATACGCGGTGTTCCTGGACACATACTTGTATTCCAGTGGTATGCATATGTGTGTCCTACGTGTATACACATGTGTGTTTTAATTGCGCGTGTTTGTGTTCCAGGTGAACACATGTGTGTTCTATGTGTACACACATGTGTGTCTGAATTGGTCACGTGTTTTATTGTGTTCCAAGTGAAAATATATGTGTGTTTCACATGAATACATTATTTAGCGTGTCGTAGGCGAACACATATGTATGTTCTAGGTGTATATATATATATATATGTGTGTGTGTGTGTTTCCTAAGAAGCACATGTTTGTTTCCAGCTCAGCACATGTATGCGTGTGCCGCAGGTGAATGTTTTTTATATGTGTGTTCATGGGTGCATATTTGTGCGTGCCGCATGTATTCTTTTAGTCGTATGCATATGCGTGTTCCACGAGTATACACATATTTGTGTTTGAATTGGACATGTGTGCTTGAGCTGCCCATGTGACCGTGCGCTTGCGCAGCCGCACTTGCGTTCATGCGCGCGCGCGCGCGCTGGCACGTGCTGGCCCAACCTCAAATCTGGCGCGGTGCTGAAGCGAGAAGCACACCAATAACACTCGTTCAGCAACGCAACGCGTGCTGAGTTCACCACTGCGTCATTTGGCTCATCCGTGTTGAAACGCAGAAAGGCACAAGTTGTTTGTGTGTTTCTGCTTACCCGTCAGTCTTCAACTGTTTGGGGTCTCTTCTGGTGTAATTTGTAGGCATTTTTTCTTCGTGAGACGGCGGGGCAATTTGTCCTTTCGCCAGCCAGCAAAACATGTACCTTCCGGAAGTCACAGGTTTTGTGGTTCTAGGTTCACTTCTGTTTCTAAGAATTTGGCAATGCAACTGAGTCATTTGCTGGAGTTTTGCCCGAACGCGCGCCCAGGATTGCTCGACGTCGCAGGGGGAGAAGTGCTGTGCCAAGCACAACATCGAGGCGTACCCTTCCATTTTCTACATTCGCGGTGGAACCATGCAGAAGCGCCCCGGCCTTTGGCTCACCCACGGGGCTGTCCCGGTATCGCTCGAGGTACCCGGGGGGCCCGAAGCGCGACGACCTGCTGGAGTTCCTGGCCATGCAAACCGAGCCCTTGGCTCAGGAGGTGGCCAACGAAGAGGCGGGATTTTTTCATGGAGCTCCTTCTGGGGATGTTTTTTTTGGTTTGGGAGAGGGCATCCTCTCCATTTGATTCATCCGCATTCCCCAACTTAGACCCTCCGCGCTCAGCACACATGTCATTTTGGCTGTGGGTCAAAACCAATGGTACCATTTTGGTTGGTAGGTGAATTCACCACCAATTTTAGAACCTATTTTAGTGGTTGGATTGGGGTGTTCACTGGGTACGATTTGGATTTTGACCCATGGCCATGTGGCCATGAGGAGGCGAGGAAGCTGGCAGCGGCCCGGAAGAAGCCGGTGCTGCTCTGGCGGGCGAGCAGCCCCGGCGAAGCCGTGCCGCGCGTGGCGCGCGAGTGGCTGCGCCAGGCTCGGCGTCACCTTCGGAGGGCTCGGGTCACCTTTGAGTGGCTTTGATGTTTGGAAGGGTGGCTTCATGTGGGCGAGCCCCATCTGTTGATGGGGCCCCTGCATCTTTTTTTTGTAGCGCGGGGGTGTGTAATTGGGAGGAAGGTCTTCGCTTCTTCTTTTCTGCGGTTTCCTCACCTACCGCATGCCCGGGTTCAGGATTGAGGATACTTTTGTATCCACCCCGCCGTCAGTGGCCTAAAATCAATCCCCGAGATTGAAAGTTCCAAACCCGAAGCCGTCTGGTCCAAGGTGAAGCTGGCGAGGCTTTCCGCTGCTGCTCGCCGCAGATGTTTTGGAGGGCGTTCGCAGAGTTGCGGGGGTAGGGCTGCCTGAATTTACAAGTTGCTGTAGCCTTTCCAACTACAACAATCATGGAAGAGATTTCATCGAAAAAGGGTGGGTTTAGACTTATCAGTGTTGTTGAGGTGGGGTGGTGCTTTGGGAAATATTGGGAACCTTGGGGGAATGTACCGCCTTGGGCCCTTTTCAGTGACGCCGTTGGGGACATCCCCTTCAAAGTTTGAGAAGTACCCCTAGAGATTGAACACCCTACGTCGTCGCCGAGGAAATCGCAGCAGGATGGTTCAACCTTTTGGTTGCGGAATTTCAACTTGAGCGACGATTTGCACGGCCCTATTCGAAAAAGCTCGGCGGGAAAGCAATCGCTTGGATGGTGATCAGAAGCTCTTTTCGACATTGCTGTGCGTTGCTTCGGCTTTTCGATCCCTTTCCGAAATCCTTTTCGACAAGGTGATGCTGCTTTGGGTTGTGGACTGTTCCAAGCGCCTGGATTTGGCATTTTCTGTCTCAAGGGCCAACCATTTCAGCTTGGCGCTAGGTCATCCCCGAACCCTCCATCCGCCAGGCAATAAAAGAATGGGAACGCCGTTTTGAGATCGCATTTCAGCGCCTTTGGCATTGCGTGCTGCTTCTGAAGGGGGTCGGGAACACGAAACGACTCAAACACCAAAGCAGGAAGCGGGATTGAGCCAACCCATTCTCCTAGTTTTTCAAACATCAGCTCCGTTTCGGATTCCCCTTTCAAGTGGGGCCTTCAACCACCCGCTTGGTGGAAAAGGTCTGATTTGGGTTGCCGGCTGAGGATCGGGAGTCCTTGGCCTTGGTTTGGCCGTCGGCCAGCATTGAGCGCCTCGACGGGTCTCGGGAGTTCCTTTTTTTTTTTGGGGGGGGGGAGGGGTTGTTCCTCTATTCATCAAAGCAACGAACCAAAAGGGTCCGAGCCTCCAGGCGGGGGGCCGTCCAGGGATTCATTGAGCCGAGAATCGCTGGCGCAACTACGAATCTTCCAAGATCCTTTTGTCCGCCTTTCTTTCCCCGCGTGTCATGTCTTCACAACCCGAGCTTCTCACAAGCTTGTGGCGTCGACTCGTCCTCCCGGCCCAGGTACGAAGGCAAGATCTCTGAGGCGCAGACGGCAGATTGATCCAGAAAGCTTCCGGGTGAGAGCAAGGGTCTTTGCCCCAACCGTGGAACCCCAAAAAATTGGGGGGGGGGGGGGGGGGGGGGGGGGTGGGGGGTGGAGGGGGGAGGGGGACGGGTTCTTTGAAGATGATGACCTTCGGGGGTTCCATGATAATCTGCGGGATCTCTGGTGAGTTGATTGGAGCGATCCCTGCTCAATGAGGGGACCAGGGCCAAGAGTTCGTAACAGAAATGTCTCTCTGAGCCTTGTGGTTCGCAGAACTTTCCGACGAGGCTCAGCTGCGGCTTCTACCCAGTTGACAAATGAAGCCTTGGGACGGATCCCTACCTGCTCGCGTCTCTGTGTTTGTCATCGTTGCTGTGCTGCCAATTGGCCTTGATGCTCTTGCAGGAGGCCCTTTTCTGCTTGAGGAACATATTCCGGGAGGCGCAGTCTCAATGATCTTTGACCTTCCCCTCCCTCAGCACAAGATGATTCCAAAGAATACAACCAAGACACCAACAACAATGCCAAAACACTGCGACACGCTTTGTGGCCCCCCCCCACCCCCCCCTCCCACCCCAAACCTCTTGTCGCGGCATAGGAGGAGGTGGGCCTGTGGCTCGCGGAGCAGCTGGTGAAGTCGGAGCCGGCGCCGGCGAGCCAGAC